CCTATGTGAGTTCTAAATACAATTTTGTGAATACGCTCAGAAAATAAAAGGCAGTGCCACTGTGATGAAACAAGCCAGCTTTGAGAGACATGATGATTTTTGTCATTTGAAGTTCTAATCTTGCATTTATTAAACTTGCACTCAACAGTGTGGGCCAAATAAACTGTACTACCTAATCTTCACTACGGGTACATATTTTTTAACAGCTTACAACATTTTCTGATGTTCTTTCAGTCTATTAGTCCACTTGGAAACAAACACATACCGCTTTCATGAGGGCACTGAGGTATCTTGTTTGCCTGAAGCATCCACAAATAGTCAGCACCCCACTGAAGACAGACTTTGTGGTCTTTATACGGGCGTTCAAAAGGTGGGACTGCTTCTAAAAAAGTGTAATTTTTGGCAACTGCCTCCTGGTAGCTTTCATTCTGCTCAACATCATAGCTGCTAACTGATCGGTGACTAATCCACGCATATAATATCACACTGTGCACTATTATTGAGTTTCTGATGATGTAATCATCTCTGTAAACCATGATGCTTGGAAATTTCAAATGTATTTGTCGAGTTTGACGAACATAAATATTCTTCTCATCCTTCCACCTTCTTCTGTATACTGGTACACCAGTCCTGAACTCTGAGGAAGCTACTGCTTCCAAATTAACTATACAAGGCTTAGAACATAAATACTGAACAGAAACTTCAGAACTGTTAAGGACTTTCTTATCCAAAACATTTAAATGAATGAAGTCCACAGAATCCATCTTTTTTCCAAACTGTGGCGTAACTGCTGTAGTCCGTTCTGTCTCCTTTCCAAAAGATGGCACAAAATTCTGTAAATAAAAAAACACAACAAAACAATTATGTTAACCAGAGAACCAAATTTACACAATTACTAATATACTTCAACCAATAGCAGATGGTTTTTAGACAGTACTCAGACTCCAAACCACCAGGATTCTTTCACACAGCACGTAGCTACTAAAAATATACCATCAAGATTTTAATGGCAACAGTTCCCCTACCACTGGCTTCTCAAAGCCACATATGCTTCTACAAAACAGGGTGTATCCTGCAAGTGGAATCTGGTCCACTAAGATACTGACTTACACGTCATGCTATATACACATGTTCCTAGGATCAAGCCAAAAGAATATCTACAAAAAGGTGCTGGCATTTATTCATCATATCATTGTTCACTTGCACTGCTGCAGCCTGATATTTCTATCTTCCTAAAAAGTTAGACCATTTTGTTTCCTGCATGAGAGGCATCTGAAGAGCAGGAATGATAACCAAGGCAGACCACTGTGGTTTCCTGAAAATTAATTCATGTTCATAAAGCATTTCAGAACTTACTACAGAAACATTCCTAACTGGAAGATGGACTTGTAAATCTGAGCAACAAGTCTGGCAGACAGTACTTAGCTTCTGCTCCCTACAGCTATGTACAATACATTCTTTATGAGTTCTTGGACATGCACAAGGATTATCCTCCATGCTGAAGTTCTTGTCTCTAAAGCTTCTGACTGCTTTTTTTCTTTCTGCTCAGCAGCCAGCGACTGGTTTGATGTGCTGCCAGGGATACTGAGGATTATTGAGCTTGGAGAGCCACCACCATCACTGCACTTCTGCCAGATTCCCTGATCTGCATAAAATGTTCCAAACTGTCACTCTGGTCTATCAGGGAAGCTGGTAGTTAAGGTTATTCAAAATGAGAAGCTCTATTTTCAGTGACTTTTAACTTTGCAAAGCTTAAACAGAGTGAAATGAAATAGCTTGGATAGCTACTTCACGTTGATGTCTTTTTCACTGCAGTTCTCAAAATATTTAAAAACTTGAACCAAGTAGTTTGTACATTTCTATCTATTAGATATATGTGCTGTTAACCTGAAAGAAAAGACCTCACCCCTCTGCCAAGATGGGGATCAGTAAATAAAATGAATTGTTTTCCTTTTTGTATCTTAAGAATACATTAACATCTTGAAAGCTACTCTGAAAACAAATATTTGCCTGTTTAACTTGAAAAGGTGTAACTATCAGGAAAAGACAGAACTAAGCTTACCTGTACTCCCCTCCTCATTCCTATTTTAGATTTAACTGTGTGACCAAATTTTTCTCCTTTATTTAAAGTAGAAATTGGAAGACATGACTGAGTGAGGGAACTTTTGAATGAAGAAAGTGGGTATTGCTGCTAGCAGCTGGTAACTCCAGATAACCAGATTTATTCACAGGCTACAGATCTTTCTGTACTTGTTACTCAAACTGCTTTCCACAAGAACAGCCAAGAGTTCCTTACTTCCTCATGTCCAAACCAAATGTGCAGTGATGCTGTACAAACACAAGGAACCCCAAGATGCATATTTATTTTGGACAAATAAAAATGCAAACCATGCCACAATGCCAGGATCTAGGCTTTTTACAACAAGCTCTGTCTTCACAGTAACAGCTTTCCTCTCCCTCCGTCTTGTTTCCCATTCTATAAAATGGATAAAATTCTATTAAAACTAAATCACCATTTCAATCACTAGTGGTAAAGCACAGTAGAAATACCCATTTGAATCTAACAAATGTACCTGCAGTCAGTGTTTAAATGATGTGTATTAAGAAGGATTTACTGAAGAGGATAAAAAAGAATGACCAGTAGTAGGCTGTGTCTATTGGAAAACTGACCACCGCATCCTGCAATAACACACATGCAGAAATACCTCATACAGAAGCTGACAAAAACTTTAATACTAATTCTAATATCTTTTAAATATACTATTATATGTTTCCTTATTTGGTTCTACTTATGTCTACAAAGCACACATAATAGCATCCACAAATTATGCTACAGCTCCTCTACTTGATCAATACCACTCATATTTATCAAATAATTTGTGGATCTTGCAAGAAACAGTCCTGGAAAACAGCTTAATCTGTATGATATATCAGAATCTGCCCTGTGACATGGCCCCCAGATTATACAAGTAAGACTGTATGTTTATCCCAGGGTGTTGAAGTACACCAGGTAGACAGTACGAAGCATCACATTACTGCTGCTTTTCATATATATCTATTTACAGTCCAAATGTATACAGCCAGCCTGCACTTCGCAGGGGTTTATCCAACACAGAGACACAGGAGTTGGCTCCCAGCAGACGCTCCCTGGGTCTGGCAGTTTTCATTAGCAAAGACACAGCAGTATGTGAACACAGCCATCTGGCTTCCAACGGAAGGCCAATTCTGGCAGAAACAACACTACTTTTTGTGGTGCATATGTGCCAAGGCAGCAAGCACTGCAACCCACAGCCAGTTCTTGCAGAATAAGCTCCATGATGCTCCTAGAGCACTTAGGCATTATGTCGTGTGACCGTTGATGTGCAGGTCAACCTCAGCTGTGTGTCTTCCCTCAGCACCTGTTCTGCAAAATGGCTCCCACAGGTTTACTCCTGAACATTTTCTCATTGGTGTCTGATGTATTGAGACATGTTTGGGTCTGCCGCCGCATCACACCCACTGAACTCCTCAGGATGCTCATCTAGGCTGGGACACAGCACAAAGCCATCCCCTACTGATGCAGCTGTGACAAAGACCAGGGACAGTGCAGTCTCCCAAATCACAGTGCAGTGCCTGTACCCACCTGGCTGCCTCCCTGCATTGCTCTCCATGCACTGTGTGGTGCACCTGCTAAATGAGTACCCCTGCTCTGTAAGAGGTCCCAGGTTTTTCCTCAGCATTACCTCAGACAACGTGGAGTATATTGTGCATAATCTCTGCCTACAGGGAGCTGAGATGAAAGGATTACAAAACGAGTGCGATTATGATATTTAAATACCACATTTTCCCTGTGTGGTAAACAGGACAGCTATGGCAGATCAAAAATGCACTGTAGGACAGGCAGAGTTCAACGAGGAAGGCACAGAGGCTTCACTGTGCGGGGCACCTTAATCACAAAGGCTGTACAGGTTCTGTTCTTGGATCTTCTTCTTCTTAAACCCACTGAACCTGAGGGCATTAGCCCACGCCATCACACCAGATGTCAGGACCGAATCACAGCCATTAGAAGGAAAGTGAATATTTCAGCAGTCAAATACTATAGAAAAGGCTCAGAATCGTGCTTTGCTTAGCTGGAATAAGATCTCAGCAGGAATAGGGCTCAAGCCCGCAGAAATCCCCCACATGATCCTATGGGACCGGGCCTGTTTGTTCAGAGCCTGAGGACAACCACAGCCCTGTACCTGTAATGGCCACGTCACGCTGATTTTTAAGCAGTGTGGAAAGGAGACACACCAGAGCAGGTGCCGCTCTGCTCCCCGCCAGCATCAGTGTCCCATACACGTACGGGGGCTCTAATCGGAGTTCGTGTTCAGCAGAGTAGAAGAGGAACAAACTGCGCTTAGCAGATGCCTTTAGAAGGCAGCGTTTCCCTTCAGGCGTTACAGCGGCCACACGCAGCACCTGGAGCGATGACAGCGGAAGCCCCATCCCTCCAGCCCACCAAGCCCAGCTCAGCGCCACCCGCCACGCGGAGCGCGTTACCGGCCCGGCTCGGCCCCGCGGGGCTGCAGCCCCCGAACGCCGCGCACAAGCTTCCCCGTGCCCGGGGCCGGGCCGCGGCTGCCCGACGCCCTCCTGCCGAGCCCGGCCGTCCGAGCTCGGGAGGTCGCGGCAGGTGCGGGGGCCGCCACTCACCATCAGGAAGAGGAGGAGGAGAGGAGGGACGCGGCGGGGCTCGGCCGGGGGCCGCATGCTGCCGCGGCGGCTCAGGAGGCGGCGGGGCCCCGCGGCGTGGCGCTGCCCGCTGCTGCCCGGCCCGGCCGGCCCCGCCGACGCGGATGCGGCAGATCCGGCTTCCTGGAGGAGGGGCTCGCGCAGCGCCGCGCCGCGCCCCGAGCGGCCGCCGCAGGTGCGGAGAGGAGGGCGCGGCTGGGCCGGGGCGGCATCCGGCCGCGGAGGGGCCGAGCGGCCTCAGAGCGGCTGGAGCGCCGGCGCTCGGCAGGAAGCGTCCGTCCCGGCGCCGCCGTCGCGCCCGCGGAGCTCGGCGGCGACACGCCGCCCTCTCCGTGCCGTCTCGCCCGGAAGCGGCGGCCGCGGAGCTTCCGTCCCGGGCGCGGGGCGTCCCTGCGCCGCCATGGCCGGGCTGTCGCGCACGCTCGGCATCTTCGGCTGCTTCGCGGCCGTGGTGGGGGCCGCCTTCTACCCCATCTACTTCCGGCCGCTGCTGCTGCCCGAGGAGTACAGTGAGTGCCCGGGCCGGGGCGGGGGAGCGCGCCGGGCCGCGGGGCCGCCGTAAAAATGACGCGAAACTCGGAGTGGTTCGGTCTCAAGGTGACCCCGCGTTGTTGGCTGGGACGGGGCCGTGCGCAACTCACGTCGTTCTGTGAAGTGCCGTACCGGGAAGCCCCGGGAAGCCCCGGGATGCCCCGGTAGCGGCGCGGAGCGGAGTCGTGCCTCCGTGCCTCCGTGCCTGCCAAGCCGGGCAGGGGAGCGTTTGGTGTGACGCATCTCAGCGCGAGGGCGGACGGGCGCTGCCGCCAAGGTGCACGCGGTTACTCCGAAGAGATTTCTAGGAAGAAAAACAAAATGGCAACGAAGTTATTGATCGCCTCAGAGGGACTTTAGCCTCGCCTTAATGGTGGAGTAAAATTTAACTTGCAGGCATCCAAAATAATGGAAGGAAGCAATGTTTGTGAAGGTGGAAACTGCCCCGAGCGCGGTTTTGGCACACGCGCAGTGGGCACTTAGCACACACTCACACTCGCTATGCAATACCCGATTCCAGGCTTCGTTTATCACATGTGCCTCCAGGTCTCCTTGGTCCACACCTTTGTTAATTTCCTGTGTGCTTTTTGTGGCTCTTATCAGCTGTATGAGTGCTGCACAAGTGTTCACCTGACTCTTAGATTCCACGGTTGTGATACTTCACTGGGAGTATTAATTTTAACATTTAGGGTAGGGAGGATTTAATTTTTGGAGTAAGCTGTGTAACAACAGAACTGCTGTAGAAGCTCTTGCCCCTCATTGACTTGAGCTGTGGTGAAACACTCATTATTTCTGTGTATTAGGAAGCCAGGCCTGAAGTCCCAGTTTTTAAGAGGAAATAGCTTTGAACTAAAAGAGGGGAGATTAGATTGGGTGTAAAGAAGTGGTAAGGGCAGTGAAGCACTGGAAGAGTTGCCCAGAGAAGAGGTGGTTGCTCTGCCCTTGGAGGCACTCAGGGTCAGGCCGGATGGGGCTCGGAGCAACCTGATCCAGCTGCAGGCATCCCTGTTCATTGCAGGGGGAGCTGGACTAGATGGCCTTTAAGGGTCTCTTCCAACTCAGACAATTACAGAATCACAGAATTGCCAGGGTTGGAAGGGACCTCAAGGATCATGAATCTCCAACCCCCCTGCCACATGCAGGGCCACCAACCTCCTCATTTAATGCTAGACCAGACTGCCCAGGGCCCCATCCAATCTGGCCTCAAACACTTCCAGGGACGAGGCATCCACAACCTCTCTGGGCAGCCTGTTCCAGCACCTCACCACTCTCTCTGTAAAGAATTTCCCCCTGACGTCCAACCTAAATCTTCCCTCCCTCAACTTTAAACCATTTCCCCTTGTCCTGCAGTTATCAACCCTTTCAAAGAGTTGATTCCCCTCCTGTTTGTAGGCTCCCTTTAGGTACTGAAAGGCTGCAGTGAGGTCACCCCTCAGCCTTCTTTTCTCCAGTCTGAACAAGCCCAGCTCCCTCAGCCTGTCCTCATAGGGGAGGTGCTCCAGTCCCCTGATCATCTTCATGGCCCTCATCTGGACCCTCTCCAACAGCTCCCTGTCTTTCTTGTACTGGGGGCTCCACATTTGGACAGTTCTATGATACTAAGTCAGACATCTAGATCATCATCATGTAGTATCCTGCAATAGGTCAGAATGGGTTTTAGTTCTCTGGAATGATTCTTGACAATGTTTTTTAAAGGCTTACAAAATTCAGTGGGATGGTCAAGAGGCTGCTACAGCCAAGTGCTTTTATGTTCTGCTTCAAAGCACTGTGGTGGTAAAGCACTTAATAGTAAGCAGGGGGAAAAGTGGTGAGAAAAGTGGTGATGGCAGCATTTATTAGGGTAAAATGATACAAATTTAACCATTTTTCTTCCTGAAAGTGATTGAATCTCCAAAGACAACCGTATATAATTATGCTGTAATTGATAGCTCATTGTCTCATATGTAACAAACCAACCCTGGAATAAGCCCACTGCATGGAAAATACCCCCCTAATATTTAGTTTCAAAAAATTTACAAGCAGTGAAATCTCCCTGGAACAACAGTTTCCAGAACATGAAGGTGGAGATCACCAATTCTGGAATGAATAAATCCGTTGAGGAGTTTTATGTTGAGCATGTGAGGATAACCTCCTTAAAGTAGTGCTCCTTCCTTGAGTTCAGGTATCACAACAGGTGTTTTAACATTGTTTGTAAAAAGTAGCCATTGCTTTAAGATAGTTATCTCATAGTTGGTTCTGCAAGGTTACAAACTAGCTCTTAGTTTCTCTGTTAAGTGTGAACGCTACATTTGCATTGTATACATGCATACTCATTAGGATTTTACTGTGTGGGGTACAGACCTCATTAGGTGAGGTCAAGATGTTTTCTTGTTTTCTTTTTATTAATATTGTTCTGTTTTGTTTTCCAGAGAGAGAACAGTCAATAAACCGAGCTGGTATCATTCAAGAGAATATTCAGCCTCCAGGTATACTTGATTCATGAGTTTGTACTGTTTTAAAGGTCTTCTTGAAGACTTGAGTATTTCTGTGGATTTAAGTAATGCAGTAAAGAATAGAATACATGTATTAAAAAAAAAAAGCTTTACTACAAAAACATTTTCTCAGGCTAATTCTTCACTTAAAAGTGTGGATTTAATAAAATCTGTTTTAAATTGAACAATTCAAAAAAGTTTTAGAGATTCTGTTATCTTACTCTTAAAAACTTTGTGCACAAGTGTATAATCAATGAAAATTATATAAAGGAATATTATATAATCAAATAATATTAAGATGTTATAATAATGAAGTAAGCAAGAGAGTTAGGCACAGCAAGACAAAAAGAATAAGTAGGATGCTTACCCATGTCATGGGCTCACTCAGGAAACTCCAGTGGAGTGGATCTTCAGAAGAGAGAGAGATCCTTCCCCACTGGTAGTCAGCTTTCACCTGTGCTCCCAGGGCTGACTCATTGCTCACCTCAGGTGACTAATCAGAGGTTCAGGCCACGACTCAGCAGTTCCCATACACTCCACCCACCCCTTCACAGCATGAACCAATGATCAGGTTGACTAATGGGTAAGCTTTTCCTAATACAGAGAGCCACTATACCACGATGCTTATACAATTTCCATCGCAATGCATGTTGGTACAATTCAAGTGACGATTGGTGAACATTGATATTCTTGTATGGGCCAGTGCTCGATAAGTTACTAGAGGCATGCGGTCATCAGGTGCAGGTCCGCCTTATGTTCCATCAGTCCCATATAGGCCATCACCAGGTGTCACACGTGATATGACTGTAACACTGGAATGCTTTGATGGCATTTCGTTCCTTCCGGTGATCCTGAAGGCTCAAAGACTCACGGGGAGTAATAGAGATGTTTCAAGTTTCAAGGGTACCAGGATAGGAAGGTCTGCTCTCCAGGGCAAGATACAGGCCGTATTTCTATCCTGGGCCAACACTTCCACTTGTATTGGGGCATGTCCCAGCTGCTTGTACCACATCTTCTAGCCAGATATCTGTGGCTGCATAACTATGTCAGGCACCAAAGGAGGTGTCCTGATCTGCCATAGGGACCTGATGGGGGTCCCTTTAGCAATGAAGATTGGAGCGTTGACCACAATATCAGTAGGCCATGTACCTATTACTGGAGGAACTACTGAGCCTCCCACTTCCAACAATCTCCCTCAAGGTGCAAGTAGGCCACACCACCTGGGTCCTAACTGCATCTTCCAAGGCCATTTTATTCTATGGGTGCCTAGTTCTTGTTTATTGAAATATTACTAACTTGACCTATTGAAAAGTTTAGAATTGTTTTTTTTCCTATTAATATGCCAAGTTCCTGTTCTAACTTTTCAATACCATCTTTTAAAAGTTCATTTTCATTCACTAAAGTATTATTCCTTATTTCAGCATTGTTTAAAGCATTTAACAGTGGCTATGCCACTGTAGAAGCAGCTATTTGTCTTTCTCTTGTGACTATTATATCTTTGCCTAGTCCCTGAAAGTGATCTGCCAGGCAATATGGAGAAACGTTTCCCACAACACGTAGGGGATCCCATTTTTCAATGATTGTTGCCAATTCATAGTAAGGGAATCCTGCAATCTGCCCTGGAATTATTTTATCTAGGGGGCTAGTGTTCTCCCCCTTGAACCATTTACAGAAATTCCAAAGAAAGGACATAGTGTAAGTTTTAGCATATTTGGCTTGCCTGCCTGGCTCACCAAGTGTATAATCAATGAAAATTATATAAAGGAATATTATATAATCAAATAATATTAAGATGTTATAATAACGAAGTAAGCAAGAGAGTTAGGCACAGCGAGACAAAGAGAATAAATAGGATGCTTACCCATGTTGTGGGCCCACTCATGAAAGACCAGTGGAATGGATCTTCCAAAAAGAAAGAGATCCTTCCCTACTGGTAGTCAGCTCTTAAATGGGTCTAGGAGAGGTGGAGCCAGGCTCCACCCCTTCCTGCAGCACAGGTGAATTGCTTTCACCTGTGCTCCCAGGGCTGACTCATTGCTCACCTCAGGTGACTAATCAGAGCTTCAGGCCGTGACTCAGCAGTTCCCATACAACAAGAAAATAACTTTTGCTTCAGTTCAGGGTAAACAAATCATGAGTGGTCTGAGCTCTAGCTGTAGAAAAGTTTGCTGCACCTTTGTTTTATTGAATGCTGCTTTACAAGTCAGCTGAAATGCAATTTGTGAGGAATTTTGTCGTTGCCTTCCAGCCTCGTGGGAGGCAGAAATATGCGACACTAAAGGAAATTTTGAATGCAGTGCTAATAGCTTTTCGGTGCCTGCTGTTACAAGTATAAGGAATAGGAAAGTGTGAGGGGAATAAAGTCATACTACTCATTTGCATACAATTATACTGTAACTGATAATTCATTGTCTCATATAGCAAAACTGGCAAGGTTGATATTTCTCACTTAAAGTTACGGAACACGTCTTGATGAAACAGTTTGCATTTGAATATGTTAAAGGGTAACTTTACTCTTATTTTTAGAAGAGCCTGACAGCAACAGCAGGGGAAAATCCAATAGGATTAATGCCACATAGTAAGCTATGCATATCAGTTAAATCATTAAAGCAGGACTGACTTTCCAAGAAAGCAGTTAAATTTTGAAGAGGAGCAGGCAAGTTATATTGACATAAAAAGTCTTGTAAACCTGCTTTTTATTAAACAGTAAAGAAGATTGGACTGTCTCATTTATCCAAGATGCAGGTACTCGATGACCAGTGTTCCTCAGTATAGTTTTTTCATGTAAATTTAGCTGTTGATGAGAATTTATGAGATCCAGTAGTTGAATGTGAAATCTAGACAAACTGAAGTGTAAAATAAGATGGGATTCTACATGCTTTTTTCTCAACAATGTTGTAGTACCTTACATGCTGGTGTGAGGAACTTTTTTGCTATCTGAAGCTTAAGATGAAGATGAGGTTGAATTTCTAAATACTTTTCAAGCTTAAGTAGATTTTTGAGCTCAGTGCAGAAAATGTTATTGAGATTCATTCATATTTTGTTTTTTTCACAAAGCTGGAATAGCAGACAAGATTGTTTTTTTTCCAAAACTGTAGTTATGAACTGTTGGTATTTTCGTATTTGTTTTGTAGGGTTAAAAGTATGGTCTGATCCATTTGGAAGAAAGTAATGTTGCCAGCCTGGTGCACTTGAAGGCAGAACTGAAGATGAACTTCTTCAATTATTTACTCTTACACTGAAGTGTGCCTTTGGGCGTCACTTGAGAAGAGTTCTGATTATGCTGCGTGGGCACATGAGGAGCAACAAACGCTACTGGTTGGAAAGCAAAGAGGAAAAAACGTCCCAGTTTTGGCAGGGTGCTGTGGCACAATGGACAGACTGCTAGGGAGGTGACTGTTTCTTGTGTTTAGAAGTAAAATATTTGCTTCCTTGAGAAAAAGGAAGCATTATTATTTTTGTGGTTAATCTGTAAACGTTTGGAGAACAAATTATGAATAGACTAAATTATGCAGACCACTGCAGTTTCCTCCCTAGTTTGAAAATTACTTTCTGTGGTTTAATTGTGAAAACATGATAGAAATTTATACTGAGAGAGACTTGTGAATATTTGCTCTCTCTTAGGCAGAATATAACACGGTAAGTGAGAATTTGTGCATTAAAATTTCTTCCTTTCAAACCAATGCGTGTTCTACGTTATTTGTTATGTATTTTGTGAGCAGGTGTGGTGGTTAAACTTGACCACCAAGGTGAGCTGCCAAGTGCTCACCTAGCCAATCTCTTGTTCCCATTCCTCAGCAGGATGAGGGAGAAGACAGGATGAAGAAGCTCGTGGGTTTTGATAGCAACAGGAAGATTGCTTACTGTCTACTGCTGTGGGCAAAACAGACATGTCTTTCATGAGTTGCCATGGGGACATTGACTCAGGCGAGGTCCTCTCCACACACTGCAGAGAAATGCCTTCTCCAGTGCCTGCAGCACCCCCTTGCCCTCTTCTTTTCTGACATTTTTACTGCTATTTCTCATTTTTTTCTCCTGTCTGTCTTTTCTTGATTCTTAAATATATTTTCACAAAGGTGCCACCCATTTGGCTGGCAGGCTGATCTGTGTCCTCTATGGGTGCATCGGGGGACCAGCTGGGACTGTGTGTGTCGTGGTGTTGCAGCCCACCTCCCTCCCACCGAAACCTTGACAAGTACACCCAGTAAAGTAGGTTAAGACTGTTGGGGTAGAAAATCAGATATTTCAAAAGCTTTTTTAAAAGCACCATTATGATGAGTATAATGATATGAGAACAACCTAGTAAAGGACTGCTCCTATTTAAAATCCTTACCCTAATTTGTCTTAATTTAATTGGTTAATTAGTGTTTTGAATAAATGGTGTTTTCAGAAGAAAGAAATGATCTGTAACCTGCTATTGTTGAGTATAGATGTAGCACATACATTTAAATTGTATATGCTATCTTCCTTTCTACGCTATTCTTAGGATTTAATTGCGAGACAAACATTTTAAAGACTATTGCAAGAATGCATGTGCAGTGAGCATTACTCATAAAGTGAACAGGTGTTAGTCTTCTGTGTTGTTTTTTTTTTTCAGACATCACCTGGCTTTCTTAATGACAGATAAAAGACTCATCTTTTACAGTGTTCTTTGCCAAAACAGTTGTTACTTGATATCCCTTTTCTGCCTTTTGTTGTTGATTCCCTCCCACACAGACACATACTTCCTTTTCTATATTTCTCACATCTTTAAAATCTTATACTAATGAATGTCTTTTTCAAATCTTTGATATTTTTTTTCTGGCAAGAAAATAATTATTATTCATGCAAATCAATACAAAATGAAACTCTTAAAGCAACAGGGAAGATACTGCAGTAATTCTCAGTTTACACTGAAATTTTCTTTCATTGCTCTGGCATTTGCCAGTTGCCTGAAGACTTGCCCTGGACTCGTCCTAATCCTGCAGTTGGCTTCCTGGGCACAGTGACAGTGCTTTGCTGTACTGCTCGGCACTGCACGCATCTCCAATTGCTTAGTTGCAGGGGAGGTTGGGTAGATAACCAGTTGTGTTCCCCAGAGCTTTTTCCTTAGCTTGCTCTGAAATTAAGAGGTTTCTGCTTTTGTGGACTGCAACTATTACTCATTTTCAACACAAGCACACAAAGCAGTTTGGTATGTTTACAATAATACAAAATTCTGTATAACTTCTGGCATTTGGGAAATTTCGGTGTGTCTAATCTGCCAGGAGTATCAATCTGATGGTTTTGTTCTATCTTTTCTGATTATTGTGATAAAATGTCTTCTAAGAATGTTTTTAAAACTATTATTCTTTAATATGAACTCATTTTACTTACTTATTTTAGCTGGAATATAAACAACAAATACGACTTTATCCTCTGATGGACTCAGATGTTTCAAAAACTGTACTTTGATAATCTGACAGAAGCAATTGCTTGTACTAAGTTTGGGTCTGCTATTTTAAGCTGATAAGTTTTGAAATTACTAGAACTTGTACTGTGGAGAGGGAGTTGGATGTTTTGATCTAAACCCAGACATGACTGAAATATTGTAGATTGTTAATGATACAATGAAATTCTCAAACACAAACACGATAGGATGGGTGAAGACAGCGAAATGTACTGGCAAGAAAGAAAAATGAGATTTTACAGTACGTGCTGAAGATTGCACTTGAATTGTTGAGATTGTTTTCATTGGGAAGGTGAGAAGGGTTTTTTTTTCCCCCTTTGGTACTTAAACACATTGAGTAGTGTTAACCAATCTTCAAGTATTACTCTACAGATGGTCCTCTTAAAAAAAAAAAAAAAAAAAAAAAACAGTCCAGAAAAAGAAGCAGTTGTTATTTTTTGTGGTTTTCTACACCAGAATAAATCATGCATTTTCCCTTCTTGCAGTCTAACAATAATTAACTACTTATTTTCTCAGAACTGTGTACACTCCTACTGACCTTCTTCATGTTAATATGCAGACACAGCAGTAAATGGAAAGCTGCATTGACTTTTTCTGTGATGCCACACAACCCAAATAGTATGTTTGTTAGTGGAAAGAAATTATTTTCTAGCTTCTGAGAAAGTGCTGCAAACGTTACAGTTTTTATGTGGACAATGTATGACTGGAGGGCAAAAACCAAAGTGCAGGGTACAGCATATTAAAGCTCTTTTAAACATATTAGCCTTGCAAGAAGAATAGTGCAGTTTTTAAGTCATTGCCTTGGAAATTAGGACTGTTGTGGTCAGTTCTATGCTCTGCAAGACTTTTTTTTTTTTTTGTCAGCACTTGAGCTTCAGTTCCATTTGTAAAATAAAAGTAATAGTACTCCCCTTCTGTGCTAGGCATGATGGAGATAAGTACAGGGGTTGATTATTCAGATAATCTGGAAAACCTTTTTGGTTCTTACCTAGGAACTTTTCTTCATGATTATGATAAACTGGACTGGGAATTAGATATTTCAGTCCTGAGTATTTCAATGTTTTAAAGAATCTTTTTCAAAAAGAAACAACTGAAATTTCCCAGGGCTCATATGTTACAATATGCTCTGGGTACAGAAATTCGGCTTTTTGGAATCAAACAGGAAACTCACCTGCTCTTCACAGTACTGATATTAATTTCAAAATCTCCAAATTTGAGCATGAACTTTCACATGTAAGTTGAAGTACAACCCAATGTGAATGTTACTACTGTTGCAGGAAAAAAAAACAAGTAGGGAAATGGACAGGTTTTGCTGTGGGCTCAGGTGTCTGTTCTAAGCATACACCTGACCATTTTGCATGTTCTTTGACTTGCCACTTTTCTTGTCTTCTGTAACGTGTCCTACCTTCTGTCCTTTGCACAACAAAGAAGTAGCTAGAAGTCTTGCAATATAGCTGAAAGTATCAAGCAGGTGACACTGAGTACCACTTAAAAGAAGTGAGGGAGAACTGGAATGTTCTGTAGCCCTGGAGGAACACCTTCGAGGTGGGATGCCGGGCATGAATGGGAGACAGGGCATACTGGTCAACTGAATGAACAGGAGCATGAGGGCCAAAGGATATACATCCGTGAGAAACCATCCTTTGTTAGCTCCACTGCTCACAAATTGGGATACCCCTTTCCCTCTCCTCTGTGTACTCCCCAAAAGTCAGAGGTAAACATTTCTGAAGAAAGTTCCTAGTAAAGACAGTGAAGTTATCATGAAAAGAGAGCATCTAAGGAGATCAAATATAAATGTTCTTCACTCCAGCCTACCTTGGGAGGTCAGAAATCATAGAACAATTCAGGTTGAAATGGACCTCATGCTGAAAAGTATCTTTCAGGCCTCAGGTCACAGGGAAAGGTACCTCCTTCACTGTCCGCTTTTTCCTGTAACTCTGTACAGTACAGTATCAAAAATACCAATCAGGATAGAGGAGGAAGGTACTCCCATTGCTTCAGCAAAAATTCATGTAGGAGGAGTCCTTCTCAGCCACCCATTCACTCCCAGAACTGGATGCCTCTGGAAAAGTTTAGGATTGTATTAATTCTTTCAGCTTGGAAGAAGAGAAACCACTGTGGATATTAACCATTTGCTCCATGGCTGCTCCTGTGACTTTTGGGGTGCCAGTGATTGTAGCAGACCACCTCTAGATCCAGATTTCCTCCCCATCTACTGATAAAAGGGACGTTTATACAAGAACTCTAACTTGTGCCATTACTGATTGCACCATTAGGAGACTTCTGAAGTCTGGAAAGCAGGTAATCTTAGTAACAGAATCTTCATTATCTGCTTGTAGCTTCCTCTGAAAAAAGCTCTCCATTCCACTGGTCCTTCTTGTAGTTGTCCTGTGAGTGGCTGGCACAGGCTTGCAAGATATTCCAACAAAGAATTTCTCATGGTTCAGTCCAAAATCCCATGTCCCACATTAAGAACTTGTGATGTATTATGTTCCCCTGCATTTTCTTTGTGCTTTTAATATGGTTTATGTGATTTTATGGCCTCTTCTGCCTTCCTACTCCTCTCTGCCTCTGGGTCAAAGCAATGATGCCAGCAGCACCATTAGCTGAAGGAGCCTCTAAGCAGCTTGGAGGGTGATCCAGGGAATGTATTCCCATGCATTAAGCCTGCCATTTCTACTAGCCTGTTGCAGACTTCCTCTTATTTTCTTTTTCAGCTGACAAGCCTTTGGTTCATAGCAAAAACTCTTGTTATTATTCTGTATCACACCTAGTACAGTTAATTTTTGTCCCATAGTTATCACTCTAGCCTTTTAAAGTCTTTTGTGTAGATATTGCCTCTCAAATCATTTAATCAGAATGCTCCATTAGTATACTGCTATTTTTTAAGCCAAACGGCTACATTTGTCCTGAGACAGATCTCTGAGAAACACCACCATTAAAATCCCTCCAGGCCAATGACTTCCCTTTTGTCATATCTGCTTTAGCTAGTTCCATGCTTGGTTTACAAGCCTTGTAACTAATTGCTTTCCATGTTGCATCATTTAAATGCTTTGCTAATGTCCAGACAGAATATACCCCCTGAATTTTTGTCATGCTAACAAGTTTATTAAGTAGCAAGACATGCTGACATGTTGACTTTTGGAATTTTGATTTGCATCCCCATTTTTCGTTACTTCAGAGTTTACCATGATCTTGTATGTTTTTCTTTTTTTTTTTTTTTTTTTCCTTAAAATAATAACAGCTAGGTAGAAA